TCTCCATTTATTTAGGTCTTTTAAAATGTCTTTCAATAGGATTTGTAATTTTCTCTCTAAAGATTTTACATATATTAAAATTACTGCCAACTAACATACTTTTTATGGTGTTGTAAATAGTATTTTTATTGAGGTACAACTGACATATAACAATATATTAGTTTCGGATATACAAGGTAATGATTTGATATTTGGAAATACTGCGAAATGACCACCACAATAAGTCTAGTTACCACCTGTCTCCATACAGAGGTACAGAAATTTTTTTCTTGTGATGAGAACTTTTATGATTTACCCTCTTGGCAGCTTTCAAACACATGCTACAATAATCTGTTGCATTTCTAGGCACTAACAATGAACTACTAGAAAGAGAAATTAAGAAAACAATCTCAGTGACAATTGCATCACAAAGAATAAAATTTCTGGGAATAAATTTAACGAGGAAGGAGAAAGACCTGTACATTGAAAAATCTAAGACACTGATGAAAGAAAGTAAAGATGACACAAACAGATGGAAACGTATTCTGTGTTCATGTCTTAGAATTAATACTGTTAAAATGTTTGTATTACTCAAAACAATCTACAGATTCAACACAATCCCTATCAAAATCCCAATAGCATTTTCCATAGAAATAGAACAAATATTCCTAAAATATGTATGGAACCACACAAGACTCTAAATAGCCAAAGCAATCTTCAGAAGAATCAAGCTGGAGGCATCACGCTCCCTGATTTCAAACTATATTACAAAGCTATAATAATGTAAATAGCATTTTTAAATAATGTTTTTGAACAGCTTGCTGCTGGGGATTAGATATGTGAATAAAAAGGCAATTTTGAACATTGTTAAGCTCTTATTGATTTGAATAATTGATCTGTAGCTTCTTTTGGGTTTTCTTTGCAGACATTGATATCACTAGTGTATTTATAAATAAGCTTTTGCCCAGCAGCTCACAAATTATCTTTTGCTTGCATTAGATTAAAGCTGTGGCAGGCTGCAGCTTGTCTGGGTTTTGCTGGGTTTGGCTGGCCTCTACATGTCTTCTTATTCTGGCCCCAAGTTGAAACAGTGGCCACTGTCTAGGACATGCTGTTCTTATAGACAAGGGCCAGTGGTGGACAACCACAATAACACATCCCGTTGGTCAAAGCATGTGACATGGCCAAGCCCAAAGGCAGAGAAGAGGGCACTTAAGCCCTCCCTAAGGGACTCATGGGTAATGCACCTAAAAGTGGGTGAGAGTGTGTAATTCTGTTACAGGGAAGGGGTGAATATTGGGGAGTAATATTCCAACCAACACCCGCTGGCAAATAACTGTTTTTTCCCCCTTAATTTTCAACCCTTGTACTTTCGATTCCTTTTTCTGTCTTTTTGCAAGCTAACGCCGCTACAACAATGTTGAGTAGAATAGATGGTAACAGACATCCTTGTCCTTGTCCCTAATATTACACAGACTGCTTTTTACAGTTTCACTGGCAACTAGGTTGTTTAATGCAGGCTTTCTGTAGATTCCCTTCATAAGGTTACATAATTTCCCTTTTATTCCTAGTTTATTAAACTTGCTAACATAAGTGGATGTTGCATTTTATTGAACGCGTTTTCTACACTGATGGAGACATTACATGTTTTTTTTCTCCTTTAATCTCTTAATGTTGGTAAGTTATATAAATAGATTTTCTAATATTAAACCAAATTTGCTTTCTTCAGACACTCCAAACTTGGTTATAATATATTATCTTTTTTACGCATTGCTGTATTTGGTTGGTTAATATTTTGCTTATGATTCTTGCAAAAATGTTCATAAATGCGATGTAATTACCCTTTCACTTGCCATCCTTGTCTGGTGTTGATAGCAAGATAACATTACTTCATAAAGTGATGTGAGGACTCCCCGGGATGTCACCTCCTGGAGAGTCTGTATATTACTGGAATTATCTGAATGTAAAGCATTTGGTAAAATTGTAAAAATCATCTGGAGCTCTCATCTTTGCGATAAACTTTTAATACACTGATTCACTTACTCTAATGCTACAAAACTATTCAGATTTCCTATTTCTTCTTTCCTTTTCATTGCTTTTGGACTCCAAGAATTTCTCTAACTTCCTGTCAGCTCAGCTATTTATTTATTTATTTGTTTGTTTGTTTGTTTGCTTGTTTGTTTTAGGGTATCTACTCTGTCCTATTGCTAGAAATGAAAGTACCAAACCTTTTCTTTGTCCCTCTGACTTGGCTCTTATTTTCACTTTCTGTGGGAAAAAATACACATACACACATGCACACACATATGTATGTACACACATATAACATACATAGTACAGACACACGTGCACACAAATTCAACAAGCTACTACAAGTTTTTGTAACCTAATCAAGTCTCAGTTTCTTCACTTTAAAATATGGGCTGTAACCATATAAAGCCAGGCCACTTTGTAACCCATCTCAGCCCAGTGTTCATCTAGCCCAATATTAAAAAGTAACTGGGGAGAAGGTAGAGGGCATACTCAGTATGCCCAAGGTCCTGGGTTCAATCCCCCAGCATCTCCATTAAATAAATACATAAACAAACAAACCTAATTATTACCTCCTGCCCTCCCAAGTTTTTTTAAAAGATAATTTTAAAATATATTAAAAAGTAATTGGAATTCAATTCAAATATTTATTGAATTCTCTCAAAAATGCCAAAGGGGGCTTCTACTTAGAGATGTGTTTCAATTCTGCCTTACTCCTCTCCAATTCATGTCCCCAATATTTCCAGCTTCTCTCACTTTAACCCTTCAAGTCTCCACCGAACACATGGAGAGAGCTCTTCCCTTTTCTCCTCTGTCCCCTCACCTTCTGAATTTACTCTTTTCTCTTCCACCAGGAGCTCTCAGCCCTTTCCAGTGGAAATCAGATCTCGGATTCTTTCAATCTCATCCTGTCACTCATAACTCCCTTTCAGCTCGAGGCAAGCCCAGGAGTGGAACTGGGGTTGGGAAGGAAGAGAGGATGAAAACTCTCATACCTTATTACACATGTTTTCTTCTCACAGGATAATACGTATCTTGAAGGACTGGACACAGTGCCTGCAGAGCACCCAGTCCAGTGCCCAGAACGCTGCAGGGTCTACACAGATGTGTGGTACCTGTTAGATCTCTGAGACACAACTTCCCTATGTATAAAACAAAGGGGTTGGAGTCTCGAGATGGCTTTTTAGGTCTACATTATTGTGGTTCTCTGGTATTAAAATGTGGGTAAAGATGAGATCAAGAGATATTTATGGCTTCTTGGGATCAAAGAGTTTCACATGAGCAAATATGTCCTGCCGTCAACTAAATTGTGAAAAGAAGAGGTTCCCCCTTTCCAGTCCTACCCTCATCACTATCCACACCCACAGAACAGTACTTATTCATTGTCTGGGAACTACTATTTGTGATATATGGGTCACATATTCAATCCTGTGGTCACCAATCCATGGCACAAGACACATACGGTTCAAAAGCCGGCACAAGGAAAAGACTGCAGAAGGCTTGAAAGGCAGATGTGAAAGTAAGACGGATGAAGTGCTTACCTGGACAAAGGATGGGGTACATGTATAAGAGACACTCTTCCTCCAACAAGCAGGAGTGTCTTGCATTAGACTATTGTCCTGAAGTGTTATTTGCAGGCTGGGTACTAGCCCTCATCCAAGTTCCTAACATTCTCTAAACATTCAGCAAGTATACAAGAACACATTAGAGACACTTGCTACCTGCAGACAAGATCTGATTTATATATGAACTCGGATTTTCTAAAATATCTTGATTTGGTCCCCAACTCACTGACATCTTTCTCTTTCTACATATTAAAGTGATGTTCTTTCAAAGTTTTTGAACCATATGAGAATTTCCTTTTCTTTAATCAATTCCAGATCCTTTGGCTGCCACTTTCAGTTGGCAGCTTCCAAGCTTTCTTTTGATCTCTTGAGAAGGCCAGTCAAACCCATGGCCACCACCCCTCAAGCCTGTGCCACTCCCTTCACAAAGTTCCAGCAGCCTGGTGTCTGATTTAAATCAGGAAGCAGTGGAAGTAGCTGCCAGTTATGTCAGTTCCTTGGAGGCAGGGCTGACATTATGCTTTTCTTTGATGCTTCACTGAATCTAGAATAATTCTGTGTATATAGAAGGTACTCCACCAACATCCCAAGTGGTGCTTGTGTTTGGTCTTTAGCCTCCTCTGTAGCTGTGGTCATATGACCAAATCCAGCTAATGAGAGGTATGGAGAAGTTGTTGGGTGGGACTTTTAGGGAAATCCCTTATAAAAGGAGGATAGACAGCTGACATATATCCTTTCGCTGTTCCCCTCTTCCTCCTTTCTGCACCCAAGTTGCAACTGCTCCAACAGCTGTCTTGGGCCATAAGGTGCTACACTAAGAATGATAAATTTAGAAAGAACATTGGGCTCTGACAAGTGTGGGGCTTCCAGGCCAACCCTGGACCGCCTACTTTTGGGTTTTTCAAAACAGAAACACAAATCCTTACCTATGTAAACCACTGGTTTTGGAGGATGCTTTCAGTCATACACAACTGCACCTAATATAACTGGTAAAATGGCACTAACGCATGTGGCAGCAGCTTAGAATCAGGAGAGACCCCCCCCCCGACTCTCCCAATACCCAACAAAAGGCCCGGCTACGTCAAGATAATATGGCAGCAGAAGAGGGGAGAGGTCCCTCAGAGGTAGACTCCAACAGCTCAGTACCCCCGGGGCCTACTCAGCCTGAGGGTAACGACGAGAAGGCAAGAGGAAACTGCCAGCACAGAGTCCAGACCGAGGTCTAGTTACGGCCCTGAACGGACTTGAGCTATGACTCTGTGTTCCCCTACCCTGACTCCACTTCTAGAGACACAGATGGAGAGTGACTACAGAGGCTGTATCAGCCAAAGATTAGTCAAGGTTGTTTGATGATATTAAGAAATGCATCATTTTTAAGTGTGGTAATGGAGTTACGGTTCTATTTTTTACGTTCTTATCTTTCAGAGATACAAACTGAAATATTTATGAGCGAAATGGAATGACTGACTTCAAAACACTTTGAGGGAAGAAATGGATGGGGCAGAGAGGAAACAAGACTACCCAGGAGCTGATCTTTCTGGAGGCTGGGTACACAGAGATTCATTATGCTCTTTTCCACTTTTCTATGTTAGAAATTCTCCCTAATAGAAAATATATACAGAATAGATAAATATCAAGTTTCTACTGTGTAGCACAGGGAACTCTATTCAATATTTTGTAGTAACCTATAATGAAAAGGAATATTAAAATGAATATATGTATGTACATGTATGACTGAAACATGATGCGGTACACCAGAAATTGGCACATTATAAACTGACTATACTTCAACAAAAAGAATGCAAATTTAAAAAAAATTAAGTATATACTGGCATACCTTGTTTCATTACACTTTGAAGTATTGCTATCAGCACCATTTTTTCCAAAAGAATTTGCTCGCTTTGTGTCTCTGTGTCCCATTTTGGTAATTCTTAGAATATTTCACCCTTTTTCATTGTTACTATATTTGTTATGATGATCTGTGACCAGTGATCTGATGTTATCACTACAGCTCACTGAAGGCTCTGATGTCAGTTAGCATTTTTTAGCAATAAAGTATTTTTTAATTAAGGTGCGTACCTTGTTTTTTTGACACAATGCTATTGCACACTTAATAGACTACAGTATACTGTAAACATAACTTTTATATGCACCAAGAAACCAAAATATTCATGTGACCCACTTTTTTCGCAATACTCGCTTTATTGCAGTGGTCTGGAAAGGAACCCTCAATATCTCTGAGGTCTGCCTGAATAAGAGTGGTCCAAGGAAAATCACATACCACCAAGGACTGCCTGGTGGAAAGGGGAGTGGGGCATGGAGGCAAATGCAGAGGACTGGTGGGTTTCCCTCCTGCTGGGAGCACAGAGGAACTCCCCGCTAACATCACACTGTACAATCATTCCAATTCCAGCCTGGCTACCCGGGACCACAGACAACTGTAACAGGAGGTGCCAGCCAGCCCCACCTCATCTCTCCTTTATCACTCACCACCAAAAGGCTCAGTGAGAGAACCATGAATTCCTCTACCTCCACATTTACAGTCACAGGCAACATGTCACTTAGGGCCACTAATGCTAAACACTGTTGTAAATTCTACGCTAAAATAGCTCTGGGCTCCAAACTTGATGAGATGATTCTTCAGAGACAAAATCTTGGTGCAAAAAGTTTTGAAAAGGAACCACCTCGAAGGCAGAGTGATGGCTTTCCTTCCCTGCGGATTGGGGAGTTGGGGGTCCACATTTCTGGCAAGTTGGCCATGTGTGGAGTGCCAACAAATATGGTAACGCTCGAAACGGTCAAAAGTCGGGCTAGGAGTAAGAGAATAATGGTATGCCCAAACACAGAAATATGTCATAGCCACTTAAATGGTGTTCATGGGGAATTTATAATAACATGGGAAGTGCTTATGCTACCATGTTAAATGAAAAACTAAGGACACAAAGTTATTTATTCTGTACAATCCCCAAGACGTAAACTACACAATTACATGGATACAAAAGGAAATACCCTCCACCTTAATGGTGATTAAACCAAGTGTTGGCATTATAAATGATTCCTATCTATTTATTTTTCTTTAGGGTAGAGGCATGCCTGGGGCATGGGAGACCTTTTGAATTAATAGACTATGGGGGTCTTTAAAGCATAGGTTTTCAGCCAGGGACTCTTAACTGGGTACCATGGATACAATTCAGAGTGACTATAAACTTGGCTGGAAAAAAAACACATCTTTATTTTCATTAACCTCTAACTGAAATGTTTTTTTCTCCTGAATTTTTTTTGGTAGCACAACAAACATTATGGGAAATTTACCATTTTAACCATTTTTAAGTATCCAGTGGAGTGGGGTTAAGTCCATTTACAGTGGGGTGCAACAGTTACCACCATCCTTCTCCAGCCTGAAACTGGACATTTCCTTTAATTAGGAATGTAGCCAAGGGGGAGGGTATAGCTCAGTGGCAGAGTGCCTGCTTAGCATGCACAGGGTCCTGGGTTCAATCCCCAGTACCTCCATTAAAAATAAATAAACAAACCTAATTATCCCCCCAAAAGAAGAAAATACATAAATAAAAACTTTTAAAAAAAAAAAGGAATGTAGCCAAAGAACCACAGTAAATGACCAGGACCTGTGACTTTGTCATCAGCAGAAATCAAGGCTCTTTTCATATTACATTAGCATAGTTGCAGGTGTATGAACCATTGTTCAGGCCCCTCACAGCTTTGAAATCCGGGAGTTATGAAAACGGCCACCAAAGCTTCTTATTTAATGTTACTAGAGTTGTTATTTAAGATACAAATTTGTTTTGTAATATTTTGCTAACCATATTTCAATATAAAAATTTTCCTTTGCATGTAAGACTATGTATTTTATGTATTTAAGAAACATTATTCTGAGAAAGAATTGATAGGTTTCAGCAGACCGTCAAAGTGGTTCACAAGACCAAAAACTCCTGACAGATGGAGTAATTAAAGTATAAGCTACCCTCAACATACAATAATGGGTTTACTGATGGGTGTCTGAATTCTTCACAACTGTTCCAATGGTGACGTGGCTCAGTAGAATATAATACTACATCCACATGCATCTTCCCAACAGCCACCATGCACTTAGCCCTTGGAGTAATCCAATTTGCATGTATCCCTTTGGAAAACAATGTTTGATGGACCTCAAAAGATATTCTCAAATGAATAAGCCGCCAATGACAGAGTGTGAGAGTATCAGAGCATATTCCAAAAAGAGGAACAAATCAGCCCCACTTTTCATAAAGAATCTACTTCCCTAATCTACTTCTTTCTTTATCCAAAAATATGTTTTAGAAGATGCGCAACATCACTAATCAGGGAAATGCAACTCAAAACACAATGAGACAGCACCTCGCAACTGTTAGAAAAGCTATTATCAAAAAGATTAGAAATAACAAGTGTTGGTGAGGATGTGCAGAAAAGGGAACACTTGTGCACAATGTAACCGGTGCAGCCACTATGGAAAACAGTATGGAGGTTCCTCAAAAAAATTACAAACAGAACTACCATATGATCCAGCAATCTCATTCCTGGATATTTAACCAAAAACAAAAACACTAACTTAAAAAGATACATGCATCCCCAGGTTCATTGCAGCACTATTTACGATAATCAAGAAACAGAAACAACCTAAGTGTCCACCAACAGGTGAAGGGACTAAGAAAATGTGGTATACCAGAAATTGACACAACATTGTAAACTGACTGTACCTCAATAAAAAAAAATAATAATGGTAAAAAAAAAGAGGAAAAAAGAAAATGTAGTATATGTATACAACGGAATATTACTCAGCCAAAAAAAGAATGTAATCTTGCTGTTTGCAACAACATGTATGAACCTTGAGGGCATTATGCCAAGTGAAGTAAGTCAGACAGAGAAAGACAGATACAGTATGATCTCACTTACATGTGGAATCTAAAAACAAAACAAAGCAAAACAAAAAATAAGCTCATAGATTCAGAGAACAGACTGGTGGTTGCCAAACTTACGGGGGAGCGTGCTGGATGGATGGATGAAGGGAGTCAAAAGGTACAAACTTTCAGTTATAAGATAAATGAGTCCTGGGTATGTAATATACTATATGGTGACTGTAGTTAATACCATATTGCCTATTTGAAAGTTGCTAATAAAGTGAATCTTAAAAGTTCCCATCACAAGAGAAAAAATTCTCTACGTATGGTGACAGATGTTAACTAGAATTGTGTTCATTTTGCAATACATACAAATATTGAATCATTGTGTTGTACACCTGAAACTAAAATGTTGTATGTCGATTATATCTCAATAGAAGGAATTCCGTTTTTGGAATCTCATATGGTGCTGGGCCCTGTATTCCCTGGACTAGAACCACCATTTGATTACCTTTCATATAAGATTTTCTTTTCCACAAGTTCCATATCTGCCATAATTTTCAAAGAAAACTGCTCTCTAATGTTGAAAGACGTCTACTTAACCTATAATCACCTTCTTGGAAAGAAGCCCCCACTTACCCTCCACCAAGAGGTCCATAGAGTTGGGTCTAGGTGGTCTATAAACTCAAATCCCTGGCTATGGCTGACTGGCCAAGAGTAGAGATTTGACCCAAGCTGAGCCAATCAGATTATCTCTCCTGGGAATTTGGAAAGGGGACCAGTCTCTCCCTGGTGCATTGACCCGTGGGCATGTAAACTTCGGGGCTACCACGTGGGTGTGTGTGGTGATGTGCATGCTGAGGCGGACAGACCAACCCTGGGTGGGACATGGGTGTGTGGAGAGGGTGCAGATGCTTCGGCTGTACCCTTTGCTCAGGACTGCTGAATCCATGGTATAGAAACCTGCTTTGGGCTGGGGCTGGTCCTGGGGGGACCCCAATTGCTAAGTTTGGGTTGGCCCCAATGGTGCCCCACACGGCAGCTCAAGATTGTTTCATGCCCTCTCTTCCCAAGTTTATCCTCAGAGTCCCCCTAGTCCCTTGCACAAAAAAGTACGAAACAGCCACCCAACCAGCGTACCTCAGGTCTGCCGATGCTTCTGCGGACCCAAGCTCCAACCCCTTCTGGCTGCTCTCGGCTGAGCACTGAGAGGGTAACCCTCTTGAAGGATGCCATGTCGAAGGCTAAAAAGAGTGTTCTGAGGCTGAGCTGTAAAGGATGGAGAGCAAGAGGAGGGATAACAGAACAGAGAAGTCATACAGGAGGGACTAGCCAAGGACAAAAAAATAAAGGATATTAAATTTACACCTGCCCAAAATATTAACAGCTACAATTTATTAACTGCTTACTCTGTACAAAACCTGAGCTAGGTGCTTTAAAACAACAATAATGATGGTAAACACATATGAGTACTAACTAGGTTCCCAGAACCCTACTAGTTATTGACAGTTGTTAACTGGTATAGTCCTATGGTCATCTTTTACAAGGTTAAGCAATAACAACTCTGTAGGGCACTTACCAAAAACCTCTAATGAGCACTTTACCAGCTTTACCTCACTGAAATTTCTCAACCTACCTCCTACCCCACGCTGCCCCATGAGGTAGGTGCTACCAGGAGCTGAGAGATTTGTGTGGTGACACAGGGAACATGGAGAAACACCAAGAGGTCTGTGACTCTCACGTGAATGTTCCTGATCTTGGCATCGAAAGGGATCTTTGAGGGTCATCTCAAAGAACTATCCCTGAAGTTCAGGGACAACTTAAGTGGCAAGAAATCTTCGTGCTTTCTCGTGAAGTCTTCTTCATGAGCATAGGAAACTCATGAAGGAGGTACCCTTGACAACACAATCTGTATTCTGGGGACTCATTGATCTCCTGAATTCAAAAGTGCTTCCTCTTTGTGGGTCTAAAGTCTACTCAACCAAATATCACAGAACAAATAGAATCAATTCCCTTTTCACTTTAAAAGCTTGCAGACAGTACCCCCAATCTGTAAAGCTCTTCTTCAAGCGATCTATAATCCATTCCTTCAAAGATGCCCACTCAAACCAAGAGAGATGCAAGAATAGATTCTGGAGCCCCACAGCCTGGGTCTGCATACCAGGTTCACCATGTACCAGCTGTGTGACCTGAGGCCAACTGCTAAGCCTTTCTGTTCCTCAGGTTCCCCACCCGTGAAATAGAAGTAATAAGACTGCCTACCTTAAAGGAGTGCAGTCAGTGCTCTAGGAATGGGAGCTGCTGCTATTTAGAGCAATCCACTCTGAAAAGCCCTCCAGTCAGTCAAGGCTTACTCTGAAATGCGCCCGCCCAGAGCCAGGCACTCAGTAAGTATTTATTGGGTGTTTAACTGTGGGACACAGAAATGAGCTCAATCCTCCAAGGCGTACAGAACGGTCATCACCTACCTATGAGCACCTAAAAAGTATTTTACTTCCCATGTGGACTATTTCTGGGTCTTTCCAGACTTCTACAATTAAATTCTGTGCACGTGAACAACTGATGAGGCACTTACCAGATTGCAGCGCTCTGCAGAAAGAAAGGCCGTCTGCCACTAGCGCCAAATTGCAGAGGACTATTTAAGCACCTCTGGTCATCTCCCTGGGGACTCCCCTGAGCATCTCAAGTG